CCACACCGTGACAATGTCACTAACCAGTAGGTGGCAGTAGTGTTCTTTGACAAACATGGATGCCTCCAGTAAAGCACATTCACATGAAAATTACTCTGAATTAAAAACACTGATCATTTATTGAACAGGATGGAATTATTTCAGATTTAAAGAACTTTCAGAAGTTTGAATTCTGAAAATGAGCGACTTTTCTTGCAGCATGTCTGCTTGGTGTGAGGAATTAATATAAAGTTACCAACAATATCCACAATCCAAGCGATCGCCTTGTTTTATCTCATCCTAATCCAGGAGCACTAACTTCTAGCTTTCCTTAATTTTTCCTATTAATATAAGAAACAAAAAAAATCAACCAGTCTGGCTAATTTGATTGAATTGATTCTGCAAAGTGCCTTTTAAACATCATGTGTTATGAATTAATGCTATATACATAAACTACATTGAATCAAACTCTAAAAAGCTGATCTGATTTGGTTTGCAAACTTATATTTACAGACTCACAAAAAGTGTGTAAAAGCTTGCATTTAGGGAATCTTTATGCTTTTATTAATGTCTTATCTAGCGATTTTGAGGTAGAAAAGCATTACTTCTTCCTGAATTCTCTAAAATAAAACAGAAACTTGATGGCAGATGAAACTGGAATTCAGAAGTTTACTCATTAAACAGTTTCTGTGCTTATTTTCTTCTTATAACCTGTATAATTCAGAGCTTTGTCCAGAGTGGGACGCTCAGAGGACATCAACTGTGTGTTATTGACACAAAGCAACGTCAACTGTTTGCTGCTTTACAGCCATGTAATAAATATACAAGGCAGGGTGTGTTGCTGACCAGCGAGTGCCTGCTGCAGCGCAGTAACTCATCCTGTTTATTTGGTTTGGACGATGACCCACGCAGGGCTTCCACTGCTTGGCTCCGCATCAGGACCAAAATCCTCCAGGCCCACAACCACAGAGTCTATTTTCAGCCGCTCTTCTCTTCCTGTTTGCTAAGAAGAAAACAAGAGAAAAAAACCCAAACATGTTGTTTGAGGGGAGCCCTGACGTCACACGTGCTCTGCTGTGTTTTGGTGTCACATTGTGTGGAGGTGGGTGTCAGATCTTTATCAGACGGAGGCCGGGGAGCTGCGTGGGAGAGCGTGATAGCTCGACGCACGGAGATGTCGGCCTCCTGGTGATCACTCACTGTCACTGGGAGCACATTTTATTTTTACTGGAGGTGTCAGAGCTGACGAGGGAGATGTGACTCAGGGATGGGAAGCTTCCAGAATCAAGCCTGTTCAAAGGATCGGCGCAAACTTCTCTCTATTCAACATATTCCACTAAATAACTGGGAAAAAAAAGATTTAAAACTACATTTACAACTTAAATATAAAAAAGCAAAAAAGCCAGTTTTACCAGTTTTAGTCCGTGAGGCAGACACCCTGTCTACTTTTAAGGCTAGGCTTAAAACTTTCCTTTTTGATAAAGCTTCTAGTTAGAGTGCTTCAGGTTATCCTGATCTATCTCTATAGTTATGCTGCTATAGGCTTAGCCTGCCGGAGGACATAATGGTCATTTTTCCTCATTTCACAATATTCCCCAGTTAAGCATTCCATCCTTCCATCCGTTTTCTAACATGCTTATCCCGAGTGGGGTTGCGAGGGGTACTGGTGCCTTATCTCTGGAGGACATAGGGACCCCTTTTTTATCATTCTGCTTCATTCTATCTCTATTCTCCCACTCTGCAGAATCTATTAGTTCAATCTCTAACGTTCTGCTCTCTCTGCTTTTTCTCATAGTAGCTTCATCTGGTCTGTTCCTGTTTGGCTGCGGCTGAAACACACAGCCAGGCAGACGAGCTCCGAGCCAGCTCCCATGTCAGAGGATGAAGAGAGCACATCCAGTTAGTCACAGTCAGAGAAACAGGACTACACTGGAAAACAGGCCAAGCTCCAACATCTAGAAACAAAGGTGTTGATGGCAGCAGCACAGCTGATATTTCTCTCCAGGATGGAGTCACAGCCAAACAGGAACAGACCAGATGAAGCTACTATGATCTGGCTCCTATAAAGCGTTCCTCTCTGTTTTTAAGGTGCCTCATTTCTCATCATGTATGGGAAAAACCGTATGTTTGGTTTTTACATCCGGTCCTGGTGTGAACCGGGTCATGGACCCTCTCTCCCTGTCTGCTTTCATCCCTCTAACAAACCCAAATAAATCTGTTGGGAGGACAGCAGGGTCCAACAAATAAAGACCTCCATCAGCTGTGATCCTGTCAGACACCCAGAATGGTTCACTGCTCTGATTCTTCTTCTGGATCAGAGTGATGGAAACTCTCCACTGAGTCCTCCTGGCAGTCTGCATCTGAGGAGCTTAATACTCCTGAGTTTGATCAATTAAAAAGATGTTATGATTTTTTTTCTTTCACACTGACTGTATCAGGAGGATTTACTCTGGAGCTGGAAATAAATGTTAAAGTGTTTTCTCTAATATTAAGTATGATTTGATCTTTTATACACTATTGGACAGAAAACTATAAGGTACCTTTTTATTGTATTTCTTTGGGTAACTTTAAGTTTTTTTATCAGAAAGCAACTAAAAAATGCTTTTCTAATTTCTTATTTTATTTTATATAAGCACTTCGTTCTAAATTTAAACCTTCTAGAGCAGTTAACAACCTGAACCTTCCCATTAGGGCTTATAATAAGTTAGCTGATGAAATGCTAGAAATAACCGCTTCCCTGATTGTTTTTCTTAAAAAAAAAAAAAAAGAAAGTAACAACGTAAGAAGTGCTCACACTGGAAAAAGTATAATCTTGCTCAAATTAAAAACAAATTTCCAGATATCACATCTAAGATATTTGACTTCACAGAATCTGAATTGAATCATTTATTATGACCTGATTATTTTATGTTGATGTAAACAATAATACTGCGTTTGACCCAACTTTAAATCTTTGTCCCGTTTCAAATGATTTTCTGAAAATTTCAGTTGATGAACCAAACTAATGTACTTACTTATAATTAAATTAACATGAACTAATGTTTGTATTGACACCAGTTAATTAATTTAAATACAACCAAATTATAATTTTCACATTTCCTTTGACTTTACTTGAAAAAAACTTTTCCCTTTTCGATTTTATAAACTCTATTTTTTTTTTAAACACCTGGACAACAGATTAATTTAAATGTGTGCATTAATTGTTAAAATAGCCTTAAATTGTCTAAATAAATCCAGGTGGTGTAAATTGATTTTGTCTATTTTGGGTAAGCGGTCCATAAGTGGGCCGGTGTAGATGAAAACCTTCAAGTAATGTTCGTTTAGCTCTGGATGTAGCCTGGTTGAATGTGCTAGGGCTTTTGGCAAGCTAACGTTAGCGGTTCATTGTCATTACTTTATCGGTAAATGCGTAAACCCTCTCAGACGTCGGCTAGCTAAAATTAACTAGTTAACTCGCCAGCTATAGTATTGGTTAACTGCTGGAGGTTTCTTCCTGTTAAAAGGGAGTTTTTCCTCTCCACTGTCGCTATAAGCCTGCTTAGTGTGAGGGATTGCTGAAGAGTCAATGAGTCGATGCAATCAGCTGGTTTTCCTTAGATAGAAAACTTTGAATCAATCTGACTGGATGATCTGGTTGAACTGGAAAGTGCCTTGAGATGACGTGTTGTTAATTTGGCGCTATAGAAATAAACTGAATTGAATTGAATTGGTTATATGCAACTTCTTTGCTACTTTAATTATGCAAATTATGGCTGAAATCCACCCAGGATGTAGAGACGATGAGAATGGCGCTCTCTCTCATGGTATGGGAGTTGGACTTGATCTGACTGGGTGAACAGTTCAACTCACATGGGACTCAAACAAAACAACCTGCAGGTCATGAATAAATATTAACATATAGAGAGAAATCTTATGTATTTAGTTCAGGTTAAATCAAACTTCATGTCTCAAAATCCAAAAAGAATGAGTTACACAATCAAATCAATAATTTTATCTAGTTTAAAGAGAGGCTGTCATTAGTTTGAATGAACAGCAACACGTTACACTTTTTTTTTGTTTCAAAAAGTTGCACTGATGTCTTTGGTGAAATTTCTAAAATTGTTAGAACAAATTTGCTATATGAATCTGAACATGTTTTCTTTCAGCGGGAATTACAGAGCGATACATTTTTCTGTTTTAATGTGAAAACCAGCTTTAAAGTTGTATAAAAGTCATTGACCCCGTTCCTGCAGCAACACCTCTACAGATTTAGCTGAAAGATATTCTATTTTGCTTTTATAAGTAAAGGCAACCATATGTTTTATATTTTTCTCCTTCTGGGGAAACTGTACAGACAGGTCGTTTCATTTAAATCTTATTTTTAGGTTATTTTTAAGGCAGCCAGTCAACTGAGATGCAATTTGTTCCAGTTTCTGAAATAAAATCTATAAAAAACCCAAACTTAACACAGTTTGACAGATAGAAGCAAAGCCAGCCCAGTTTTCGATGTTTGACCGCTTGTATTCGAGGAACTGGATAAGGTTCTGATGAATGCTGGGAAATGTAGTGTATTAAGAAAAGCTGCTTATCCGCAAACTATTAAACATCTATCCCATCATAATTCTGTCGTTATTCATCAAAACAATAAATCACGACTTAGTCCTCTTCATCGGTACTTTAAGATGATTTAAGCTTCCTGATTGGGAACTAGCGATTATTTTAGGGAAAAATAACTACATCTCCCATGATCCGTTGCGAGCAGCCTGCCTGGTGCGGACGTGTTTGACAGTTATTTAAAAATGGGGTTTGGAAGTGAAACGAGTAATCGCTAAACTCTGCTTTTATACCCAGAGGTCATAGATTTACTGTCTGTTTTTTTATGCATATGTACGGATTAATACGTAAATAAAATAAATCACTTAAACGAAGAAACAGTGAGAAGTTTAAACGCTAAAATCGATCTGCTACTAAAAGTCGAGCTGGTAAGTATGATGATAATTCTGTGTAAAAATATTAAATATTAGGACAAATCGGTTTAATTTGAACTTTGTGAAATCAGTTTAAGCAGTTCGATCAGAGGGGCTACGATTCTCAGCGGAGTGGAGCATCCTGTTTTTCACCCATCTTTGAGGCTGTAGCGGGGGAGCTAAGGCTAACCGGAGGGAAGCGGAGGCGGGCAGCGGCGCTCCTGATCCGGGATGATGCCAGGCGACAGCACCATGACTTCCATCGTCCAGAAAATAGCTCGACAGGCGCTGGTCACCTTCAGGAACCCACCGGGGCTCGGAGAGGAGACCGGGAGGTCCTTCCTGGAGAACCACGGGAAGCTGAGGAGCCTGATGACGGAAGTGCGAGCGGCGGACCTGAAGCTGGTCCCGCGGAGAGCCGAGGACAGCGCGCCCCGTCCGCCGCAGTACCGCCACGGAGAGCCGCCGGTCACCTACATGCACATCTGCGAGACGGACCGGTTCAGCATGGGGGTGTTCCTGCTGAAGAGCGGCGCCTCCATCCCGCTGCACGACCACCCGGGCATGCACGGCGTGCTCAAAGTCCTCTACGGGAAGGTCCGGATCAGCTGCTTCGACCGCCTGGAGCGGCACGTCGGCGGCATCCAGGCGGCGCCGCAGCTGCCCCCGGCGCAGATGGGCGCCCTGCGGCGCTCCGTGCTGCGATCCTCCGCGGAGTACACGGAGGAGAGCGGCCCCTGCGTCCTGTCTCCGGACCGGGACAACCTGCACCAGATCGACGCCGTGGACGGGCCCACGGCGTTCATGGATATCCTGGCCCCGCCGTATGACCCGGACGACGGCAGAGACTGTCACTACTACCGGGCCCTGACCGAAGCGGAGCTCAAACCCGCGGAGCCGAAGGAGCAGGAGGTCTGGCTCATGGAGATCTCCCAGCCGCAGCACTTCTGGTGCGGAGGGGAGCCTTACCCCGGCCCGGAGGTCCACCTGTGACCCGGATCGGGCTCACTGTACCCGGCCCGGGCCCACTGGGCTCATTGGACCCGGGGCCTCATGCAGACTGCAGGGAACTCCTTCATGCATGAAACTACAGACAGAAGCAGAACACCTGCATGTTCCGGTCCAAAGGTGTTAGAGACAGTAAACAATCAGAAATCACACCCTGGATGATGATGATGATGATGATGATGATGATGAAGAGGTGTTGCTGCTCGATAATTAAAAGTTCTCAGATCTTTGAATAAATCAATCATCTAATTTAATGGGTTTAAATCAGGAGAATCAAATGATCAGATGGTTGAATTCTTGTTAGTTTTGGCATCAAAGCCTCAGATCCTGATGGAGCAGCTTTGATGATGCCGTCTGATTTAAAGGGACAGTTCCATCAGCAGGAAATAATCAATAGATCATTATTTATACCTGAAACTAATATGATTTAATGAATTCAGTGTTAATCAGTAAAAAAACAATGATTTTCGTTGTGATCACTGAGTCTGGGAGCAGCCATCTTTGCCCAAATCTAGTAGCCCCTCCCTCCTGCCATCTTCCAGCCGTGACGTCACGGTGCGGTAAGCCTAGCGCCATTCTCCCCGCTTTCCAAGCTAAATCAATGGGAACTACTAGACACATCTGCAATCAACAACAATTATTGAAGATTTCCAGAGGACTTCACCATTGAAATTCAACAGAGCTATAGTGAAACTGACAATGCCCACGTGCGTGAAAGCGCATTCAGATGAAAGTTACTCTGAATTAAAAATCATTTATTGAACAGGATGTAATAATTTCATGTGAGCAGACTTTTCCTTTAAGGTCAGAAACTTGCTTCCTCTGTGTTTCCTCTCTGCTACTAAATGCGCTTCAGCTTCCGGTGCTGCATGGATATCAGTGTGAGGTGATCTGCTGCTGATGCTAATCTCATATTTATTCCAACGTTTGCATGAAGGATGCAGCTTTGAACCTGTTCATCTCCAGAGCCTGCAGTTCCACCAGCGTTTGGACTCGTCTTCCTGCTTCCAGTCGCACTGAGGACTGAAGATCTGGACTCTCAAACACTGTTTTTTGAGGTTTTATTTCCCTTTTCTCTGAGAAGATGCTCAGGGATGTGCATTTCTAAACCTTCAGCATAAAGCAGGACTACCTGCTGTGCTCCAGGTTGGTGTGTGACCTGATCTCAGCAGGTGGAGCTGTTCACCTGATTCCTGAATAAAGATGAAGGTTTCTCCCCAGTCTCTGTTTCAGGGCCTTCTGTCGTTTTTTTTCACTTTATTTTTATAGATTATTTACAGGTATAAAACAAGAACATGACAATGAATAATGTCCTTTAGTGAGTCTTCTGTCGGTTTTAAACTGAACAAAATAAAGTTTCCAAAAGCTCAGTTTGCTTTAATGCTGGAGAGCTCACTGCTGCCACCGTGTGGCTGATTTAAGAAAACAACCAGTGAGGAAAAATAAGCTGATTTATGATCAATTTGAGTTTTAATAAATAATAGATGAGCGGATTGAATAGATTTAGTTCAATTTATTATTTTTCTACTATTAAACCTGCTTCCCACTATAATAAAATTATAATAAAACTTTATTGATCTCACATTGGAGAAATTCACCTCTGCATTTAAACCATCCCCTTCGGCGCCCAGGAAGCAATAGGAGGTTAAGGGTCTTGCTCAGGGATCCAGAGTGGCAGTCTGTGGGAGTGGGGCTCGAACTCACAACCACATGATTCAGAGCTCTATGCCCTAACCACTGGAGTAACACTAAAATAAATCCACCTGCAGGCATCAAAGACAGTAGATCTAGACTGCATAGAAATCCCAGAATCGTCTTCGAGGTGCTGATGTGGCCTTAGTAGGTTTAAGCTGAAACTTTCCTCGGTCGCCATTAAACTAAAAGCATCTCCATCCATTTAAATAATAAAGAACCAGATGGATGCAGGAAAAAAAGAACCTTTTTAACACTTTTTGACCTGTTTTACATCCATCCACCTTATTTTATTCATGCAGTGTTGCTGCTCAGTCTGAAGCAGCACCTTAAGCACAAACATCTGATTAAATATGAATACTTAAGGTTGGGTAATATGGAGCAAAAATAGGATCTATACTTTTATATTGATGATATGCAACAATTCTCTGAATATGATTTCCCTTTAATAAACTAACTATAAAAATTAATTCTGAATAATGAATCAAAGCTTTGTCCCAAATGCCAGGCTGACATTTTTCTTAACAAACAGCTCTAGATACGTATATCTATAATGCAATATGGACATTAGAAGATTCAGTCTCTTTTGAAATAATTTGCCATCCCTACTTCAGAGCAACGACAGTGAGGCCAGTAGCGTGCAGATCGCTTACAGGAAGTCAGATTTGAACCTTCTTGCTCTAACCCAGGGGTGGATTTAGAAAATGTAGGGCCCCAGGCAAAGACAGGCAGGGGGCCCCCTGAATTGAGAAGACAACACATAAAACAGACCCGTGTGGTCAGAAAATTTAGATTTCTCTAATTTCATATATTAATTTATCCTATTTATTCACTATAAAAGTTTTCATTCAGTCTGTTTCACCTGCAACGACACAGAATTCCCGAGTGTGGGTGTTTGTAGACCAGACCTACCTTCTTTTCCAAAACAAACCAGATTCTTTCTCAAGGTTTATTTTTAACATGTTATTGTTTAACCAAAGTGTTTGTAATTTGTTTTGACTCAGACTACTTTCCATGATTGTAAGTAAGGAGGAACGAACGCTGCTCAGGCAGAACGGGGCTGATTACAGAGCAGTAATGATGAACTGTTCTCTATTTGCAAAGATATGAAAATAAAATGCAGACTGAGTGAAAGCCATCCATCTCCATTTATTTAACTGGGGTGAATAGTTGAATACTTTTTTCCACTACACCCATTCTCCAGATAGAGAAATGTTAATAGAATAGACATCCATTCTCTGTTCTAGGTTGTGTCCCTCTCTTCTTGTCCCTTTTCTTCTTGTTTTCCTCTCTATGTTTTGTACTCAGCTGACTTTTCATGCTGTCTCTAAAGGAATGAAAGATTTTTTCCAAGCACTAAGCTCACTTAGCTGATTGCTCCTTCCTGTGTTTCCAAAAAGGCCAAAGTAAATAACCCAGTCCTTCTTTTCACTGTAGACAAGCCATGATCTGCTTATCTGTTCTCCATTTTTCATCTGGATGAAATAATAGCTGCATGAATCATGACAGCAGACAAGATAGAGGAGAGCAGGAGGCGGGGTTACCAATCTACTCGCTCTGGAGAGCAGAGTTCGCTGCTTTTAGATGTTGTCTCCAAAGTCTCCAGTAGCAGAAAAAAGTCTCTAGATTTGGCGCTAGGAGCTTTTTAGAAATCAAAGTGCTAGAGGGGTCTGAAAAGTGGCTAAATATAGCGACTAAAGCGCTAAGTTGGCAACACTGCTCTTTGCATGGTTTGTTTTCAAATGGTTTGCTGCTGTCTGTTTGGACCTTTCTGAACATGTGCAGCAAATGGACTGATCCAATATGGTGGACACTGAAGGGGGGGGGGGCTGAGACACACTTAATATTATCAGCGTTCTGATGGCATTTTAGCCAAAGGATTTTTATCAAAAACATAATTAATGTGCAGAAATAAGGAATAGTTGTATTAACCATACATGGAAACAGAGTTTTATGGGGCCCCCAGGAACTTTGGGGGGGTAGCTGCACCCAACTCTGTTGCACACATGAAAACAATGCATTAATGCATTCTATTGATTGTTGGTGGGAACATGGCCCCATCAGTCCCTCAAAGTTACGCCTCTAACCTGCAGCAGGAAACTATGATGCTGTATTTATTAACCAGGTAACTAAATATTCTCTCTGAAGGTCTCTGATAAATATGCCTCACATTCTATCCAAGTTTTCTATAGCAGGAGGAACCCTCCGAATATCCCAGAGCTTCCTTAAAAGAAGCAGAAATGAAACAGAGTTTGAACCTGAACCCTCTATAGGAAAATACCCAGAGGTTATAGCCAAGGTACCTGCTTTACTGCGAGAGACACGCCAGGGGGCGCTAAGGAGGCTCTGATTATTGGAGGGAAAATGGGTACATAACATATAAATATAGATATAAAATATATAGATATAGGAATAATATACATATATAGATATAAATATATAGATAAACGAATAAATATGATCCAGTGTTAATGACAGGCAGCGTCTGCAACCTTTAAAACTCAAAGAGCCATTTTTTCCAGCTAAGTGAGATTAATTTAGAGCCGCATATATTATTTTTGATAAAACACAACTTATGAATGTCAGAATGGGAAATTGATTCCCATTTCTAACAGGAACTGTTCAGTGGAGCAATCTGTAGCACTGCTGCCTTGCAGCGAGAAGGTTCCAGGTTCAACTTATTTTACAAGCAACTGTTTTTGTTATTTTGAGCTTTTGAAATAAGTAAAAACATAAAAAGTTTGATAAAATAAAAAAGGGATTTTCTTCTACACGATATGAAAAAAAACAACACATTTCCAACCATTTAATTTCTATTTTAATGCCCTTCAGTTGTGAAAATGTAAGTCAAGTGTTATTAGAAAAACCCAGTGAAGCATGGCGGATTACCCGGCGCCGTGAGAGAACATCAAATATCACATCCAGTTTTACCCCAATAATAAATATTCCTGCTTTTCCCCCCAGGCTCCTTGGATCCGGGTTTTCGATAGTGGTCTAACAAGAACATAAAATCCCTTAGTGACCTATTTACAGATCAAAAGCTAATGTCATTTGAACAGCTTGCAAACATTTCCGTTATTCCATCATGTTCTACTCTCCCATATGAGTTTAGTGTCATTTGGAGCCGTTCTGAAGATATTCCGTTAGGTTATATCCAGTAACGTCTTCCTATGGGCAACGACTTGAAGGCTCAAACTAAACTGTTCATCATTTATTCTTTATGGTACGCCAGCATTCAGAACATGGAGGCCAATCACTGTCCCCCAGACATCCGCGGTTAGTTTTTTATATTTATATTTTTTTTCAAACAAAGCGGAGCGTGTATGACATCATCCATGTGCGCCGGCTACCATTATTAATCCTGTCTGCTG